TTAGTAGTATATTAAATGAAAGTGTTAGGCAACATTATTCTGTTCCAGATCTTTCTAAGAAACATAGAACATTAATTTAAAAATTTCTAAGTCTAGGTACTAGGCAGTGGAACAGGTCACAAAAAATACAAGATTCAGCATCACTGTGATCCCAAGAGAATTCAAACCGCATGACAAATACATAAACACAAATTTAAACCTAAAATCATACTTTTAAATAGCTTACATATAATAAATGATGAACATGAGAAATATTTAGAACTGAACTAATAAAATGCTACACATGACTTGTGAAATAATGTTAATATGAACTTAAAATGAATTTACATGGATATATTTAAAATGAAGAAATACTAAAAACTTGCAACTAGGTGAATTTTTAAAAACCTATCAAGTAAGAGGTAACTCTTCAAAATGAAGATTAATAAAGGGTTAATAAAGAGCAAAGATGTTCTTTGAAAGCACTAAAAAAATGAATAAAACTCTAGCAAAATTGATTGTGAAAAATGGTAGACAAGACTATATATTTTTAAATGAGCAAAATGATCAGGAAAGTCACAGAAAAGAAAATTTCAAATCATAAAAGGAAATTCTCAGCCTTATTAGTTATGGAAATTGTAAACTCAAATAGCAGCAGTATACCATTCCTACCTATCAAATAGGGGCATGAAATAAAAGAATTCTAAATGCCATATTGGTAAATGTGGTACACCCAAAGATCTCAGACACCAAAAATGTATGTCTAAGTTTGAAAGCAATATCCAGTAGAGATGAGGATATGCTGTAGCTAGTGGGGGAAACTTGTCATTGCAGTCCTGTGGCAGATTCATGCATGCCAGAAATAAGACCCGCACAAGGAGGGCATCAACAAGATATAGGATAAAGCATGGCAATTTTAGAACTGGGATATTGGAGACATATGGATATATTTCAAGGAGGTTGAATGTCACAAACATGTGGAGCTTTGCAGGAATAAGTTGCAGAAAAAATATGTACAATCTGTTCATATAAAGCTTTAAAAGATATGAAAAGCATTTTATGTAACAATTCATCTATATATAATAAAAGTTTTAAAACATTTATAGAAATAATAAATAAAGTCAGTATGATTGTTACTTCTGTGGAAAGAGGGAAGGAAGTATATTTGGGTGGGCACATGTAGGTATCAAATTTTTATGTGTCCTTTTATAAAAGCATATCTATAATCTTGAATATGTATATGATGCATATATATGATATATGTATCTTACATGTGTATATGTATCATTCAACAAAACTGGGTGGTGAGTACTATTCTTTGTATTTGAAACACTTCATAATATTTGTAAAATAATACTCTGTTAAATAGATATGAAAGAATAGTGCGACTCAGGTTTAACTTAGTGTTTTTAAATAAGAGAATGGGCTTCATTTTAGAATCAATAATAGAAGTTTACTACTATTCTTACCTACTTACCACCTTAGAGGTAAGCAGCAGTTGTGTTAGTCAGCTTTTTGTCACTGTGACAAAATACCTGAGAAAAATAACTTGAAAGAAGACAGGATTAATTCTGGCTCATGGTTTCAAAGAATTTAGTCCATGGTCACTTAACTATTGCTTCTGGTCCTCTGATGAAGCAAAATATTATGGCGAGGAGCACTTGGTGAACCAGAGCTGCTCACCTCATGACAGCCAGAGAGAGAGAGGAAGGGGCTGGAGTCAAAATACACCCTGAGGTCCCTCCCCTAAGGACCTAGTTCCTCCATGAAGGCCCCATCTCCTAGAGTTCCCACCTCCTCCTAGTAGCACAGTAGGTCATGAATCCATAAATGGATTGATCTACTGATGAGGTCAGAGCCCTCATGATCCAGTCGTCTCCCAAAGGCCCTACCTCTGAACATTGCCCCATTGGGGGCCAAGCCTTCCACACAGGAGCTTGGGGGGCACATTCAGATCTAAACTGCAAAAACAGTCCATTGACAGTATGTAAGATGAATGAAGAGGAAGAAAAGGAAAACTCAAGTGTAGCAAGAACCACAAGTGCACAGGCATTGGCCTCCTTCTTTTCCAATAGAATTTAATGTTGCTTTTATTTGCACAATGGTGGTAACTTTGTTCTGTTTTACACACACACACACACACACACACACACGCATGCACAAAAGCCATACAGAATTTTTGAAAAAATTTCAAAGAACACTGGGATTTTTTTTTTAAAAATCTAAAAATTTTTAAATGGGATTAACAATTTTTAAAAAAATTACACCACCCAATAATAATCGATGTAAATATTTTAATATGCATAATTCTGTGTGTATGTTTACCCATAAAAGCACACTCTACATTTTTGTTTTTAACATGATCTTTATGTGTTATAATGTACCTTAGTAATAGTTCTGTTAGGAAACATCTATATCTGTCACATGTTTTATTTATTTATTTATGTATTTGTGGTGCTGGGGATTGAACCCAGATCCTTGTGCATGCGAGGCAAGCACTCTACCAACGGAGCTATACCCACAGCCACAGCCCTGTCACATGTCTTTTAACGGCTCATTGTATTATACTGTGCAGTCATACCATATTGTATTTTAACCAGGCTGTCTGTTGGTTTTCCAGTTTTTTCCTTACCTGTGACACTGCAGTGAATACACAGCACATATATCTTTTACTACTTTGGATATATTTGTTCATTTGTTTCCTTTAGATACATTCAAAGAAGATTTTCTGAATTACAGGAATGCCTTGTAAGTGTGAGGCTTTGCTTACTGTATCAGAGTTCTCCAGAGAGGGCAGCAGGCTGGAAACTGAGGCAGAAGTTGATGCTGCAGTCTTGAGGCAAAATTTCTGTGTTCAGGAAACCTGTTTTTGTTTTAAGGCTTTTAACTGATTGTGTGAGATTTACCCACATATCAAGAATGTCCTTTATCTAAATCTCCTTTACWTAAAGTCAGCTGTACACAACACTTTCACAGCAGCACCTAGGTTGCTGTTTGATTAAATCCCTGGGTTCTGTCGCCCAGCCACACTCATATATGAAGCATTTCCTATTTCCAGATGTGTTTCCTGAAAGTCTACACCAATTTCCATTCCCACAACACTTATGAGAATGTGCATTTCTCTGTGTGGTCATCCCATGTATTAGCAAACATTTTCATTTTTGGCCAAACCCATCAATATCTCTAATATAGTCAAGTTAACTTAAAGTTTTAAATCCAAATTCTGTTGTGCAGTTTAGCAATCTGTCACATAGAAATTTTCACAAAAATCTACATCTTTTACTTTGTAAAAGAGGAGGATCAGCTCTTCCCTTCTTGGAACAAGAAATTATATGTCATCCTTTTAAAATTATCACAGTTGCTGTGCACAGTAGCTCATTCCTATAATCCCAACACCCCAGGAGGGTGAGGCAGGATAATTGAAAGTTCCAGGCCAGCCTTGGCAATGAGAACTGTCTCAAAAAAAAAAAAAAAAAGGCTGAGGATGTAAGGTACAGTGGTGAAGTGCCCCTGAGTTCAATCCCCAGTACAGAAAACAAAATAAAAAAAATAACCATGCTGAGGGAGGCTGGAGATGTAGCTCAGTTGGTGGAGTGCTTGCCTAGCATGTACAAGGGCCTGGGTTCAATCACCAGCTCCACAAAAAAAAAAAAAAAAAAAAAGAAAAGAAAAAAAGAAAGAAACTTAATCTCCACATTATATCCACATTATACCATGTCACCACTTCAACCTCTCATACTAACCCAGGGTAAAGAGAGTGAATGTAAAAAACAGAAGTGAAAATAAAAGAGAGAGCAGTAATCTTTGGCTGAGGGTTGTATCCTGTGTTCTGTATTTTCTTTGTGGGTTTACACTTCCTTATATCTCCAATAGCAATTTTTTATTGAATCTATAGYTTGTGTGCATCTTCTCAGCCTGTGGCTTTGTGTTTTCTGTTTTCCTATAGTATCCTTCTTAATGTAGAATTTCTTAATGTAGTCCATGTTATTTTTTTTTCATAATAAGCTTCTTTTGAGATCCTCTCAAATATGTCATCATGGATTGAAAAGATGTTCTTATGTTTTCTTAATTTCATTTTATTTTTAAATATGGATAAAGGGAATATCACACACTAACCACCGTTTTCCATTCAATCCTGTGTGTGTTGTTACTTTGCTCTTGACATACTTCTCACTCCATAGAACATCTTGGTATCCTTCTGAGAAGAGCACCTCCTCCTCCTATTTTGAGAAAACTTCCAAGAGCCTGACTTTATAGCAGTCAACATTCTTTGCCCACATATGTGAGCGCTTGACCCAAACCTAACTGATGGTGGTTTCTGCCTTTGGCCACAGAATCCTTATGACATGAACTGGGACACAGAGGTGAAATGAAGCCAGCTCCAGAAGAGAGGAATAGAGAGGCAGAGCAGGTCTTCACAGTGTTGAGACTGGCTGCCTAAAACACGCTCCCTTGCCCTTCCTGAGGGTCTGGTTACATGGGAACCACATTTCCAACTTTTATTGAGATCTTTTTGTCTTGCTTTTTTTTTTCTTTGTTTTGTTTTTTTCACTTCAGTAAAACTTGCAAGATATGCTTGAAAATGTAATTCTATGATTATATAATTTTGGAAATACTCCTAATATATCTCACTCTTAGATCTTCACAATTTATTTTAGYATATTAAAAGCCATAAGAAACCCTGAAGTAAGGAAATCTTTTTTTACCTTTATGTAGCCTAGCAATTCCAGTCTGAGGTTTACCATTAATATTTCTCTATGGTGCTTCTGTTAATAGCAAGCTTGGCCAGAGGATCATTGACCACGGACATGCTTGATCACAGCAAACAGAAGACCTAACAGCAAGCTGACAAATGAAAAACATGTTAATCTCTGAGCTGAGTTTTAAAAAAAATGTAAAATATGATAATTCTAAGCATGTTATGGTTTTATGTGGAAAAGAGGCTTTTGGTAAAGAAAAATCCAAGATTTAAGTTTGGTACATTTCCTGTGACCAATCTACACTCCATTTTCCTCGAGCAGGTTAGCCAGTATACCTTTGCAATGTGCAGTTACAGAGAAAAGAAATCTGAACCACAAGAACTGATGCAGCTTGAAGGATACACTGTGGATTACACAGATCCTCACCCAGGTAAGTCTAGGTAGGGCCGCTTTCCCTGCCATGCCAGAATGCACGGAATCTTTGCAACTATCCTATGTCTGTTCTGCATTTCAAACTCCACTTGATGAACAGGCTGCATATTTCATTTATGTAACTGGACCAGACTTTGAAATGTAAATGATGTCTTTTTGGCTAGTCAATGTAATTCATCATCTCTGTTGTATTAGTACAAGGATGAAATATGTAAAAATTTCTGTGATGGAAGAATCACATGAAAAGTATCAGCAATGTGTATGGAAACTTCTGGAAAGTAAAACTTACAATAGAAGTAGGTAACAAAATGGCAAATGTATATTATAGTCTGCTAATTCCCTCCCCCAAAGCAGGTTCTTGTACTTATATTCCTCCCTCCACATTAATGTAGTTGAACATCTCTTAATTGTAAAAGTCTGAAATCTAAAATGCTCCAAAATCTGAAACATTTTTGAGTTGCTAACATAATATCACAAGTGGAAAATTCCATACCTGACTTTATGTGGCAGATCATAGTCAAAATGCAGGGACATTGTCAATATATAAAATTACCTTCAGGTTGTGTGTATCAAGTGTGTATGAAACCTGAATGATATTTGTGTTTAGACTTGTACCTCATCCCTCAGGGACATGTATTGCTAAGATAACCCATTATGTGTATGCAAATATTCCAAAACCCAAAAAAGTCCAAAATCCAAGGCATTATTAATTCCAACCTTTAAACTTTACTGGGCCTAGTACTGAATACCTGATATTTAAAAATAGTGCATGAATGAATAGGCTGTTATAAAAATTAATATAGCATGCTTGATATATCAATATTAATATAGAGAGAAGTTAAGAAATTAATTCATTAGAAATTAAGAAGCAGAAATCTGTGGCCATATTCACTAAGTTGTTCATTTGGAAATGTCATCCTCTCCAATGTCTTCCTCTCCATGAGTTTTTTTGGGGAAAAAAAAGCATAAAATACCATACAACATAAAGTAAAAATTTTGACATTTTTTTTCTGCTAAACTCATAAATTCCGTGCATATATACAGGTGAATATGCCAACATGAAGAACTGCCTTCTCTAGCATATCATATTACATTTTCATTTCTGCAGGTTATGTTTGCATGTCTTCCAGAATGCGATACTGTCATGGACTATTTGTTTGATAGAGCTATTTTTAACTACTGAGATGATATGGAAACTAAAATCTTTTTTGATATTTCCTTTAAGTCTTTGATTGTGAATTTGATCCTCAATTAAAAATCATTTAAAGCATGGAGATGCTAATATCAAATTCAGTCATATCCATGAGGCCAGTCAGTGCAGTACATTAAAATCTGCCAGTGAAATAAATTTTTAATGATATTATTCTTCCTCCTCAGGCCTACAGGGTGGTCGGATGTTTTTCAATGCTGTTAAAGAAGGAGATACTGTAATATTTGCCAGCGATGATGAACAAGATAGAATATTATGGGTTCAAGCCATGTATAGGGCCACAGGTCAATCATATAAACCTGTTCCTGCAATCCAGGCCCAGAAGCTGAATCCTAAAGGAGGAACTCTCCATGCAGATGCTCAGCTTTGTAAGTTTTGTTAAAAAAATAATTTGATTATCAATTAATAACCTTAATAAGATATAAAATTAAGGCAAATTTGTTCAGTATTATAGTTTACACCATTAACTGATTCTTAATTAAATAAAAATAGTTCATATTAGTAGTCATGGAATCAGATGTCTAATTTTTCACATAAAAATTTCATGTCATTCTAGAGTAAATGATGCATGTGTTTTTCAATCATGGATTTACCAAGCATTGGGAATGTTTCTGGGAATCTCAAGAGCATATTAAGTATTTTAACTTAGGTGTCCCATAATAAAGGGAAATGTGTTGCAARATGAAATTTGCATTGATCAGATTCCATTGATGATGATTCCATTCAATGATTCCATTGAATGATGAATAATCACTTTCTAGAATTATTCTTAGTAACTCACAAAAATAATAAGTTTTTTCTATTGTAAAATGATAAAAAAGTCATAAAACCCAAGTTTCCTTTTCCAAATGCCTTATTATCATGTCATTTTTTATGCTAATTTCAATCACTAGGACCTGTGTTTTTCATTTTAATTTACTAGTGATTAATACCAAGTTGCATAATGGTGGTTTAAGCAGTTTCCAACATGGCATTTTGATAATCACTTAACCAAGTGTTTTAATTTTTTACTCCTTTACAAAACTTGTCACGTTTCTTCTAGAATGAATCAGTTTGTTTAAGCTCAAGTTGTAGCTTTTTATCGTCAAGCCTCCTTTCCAGGGTACTAATATCCTGATGTGCACTACTTTACTTTCTTCTTTTACTTTTGATGCATCAAATAACAACTCTGTTTTCTTCTTATACATCCTTCAGTATCACATCTCAACATCTTAAAGGCATTTTAGACCAAATAATTAAAARAGTAATATGAGTTCTTTCCCCTTATTTTTTAAAATAAATCTTATATTGTATTAATAATTTATCTTAATTTGAGGCACATGTTTTAAATCATAGTAAAGGCTATTTAGGAACATTAAATGGTGAGATTTTAAAATTGGTTTAAAATTTTCTCATCCTAACTTTAAAATTGCAGCATTGTCATCTTTAAAAGTAACATAAAAGGAACATATTATAGAATATATTTTCACTTCTGCCTTTCTCTCAACCTCCCAACTCCCCCAATTCTACATATAGAGTTTGGGAAACAGTAAGAATTTCCATTAGAACTAAGACGTGCAGAGGTATTATATTTCTACACAAGTGAAGATACCATGAATTTTTGTGCTCGTGTTGCCAAAGCACTTATGCTCATCAATGCAGAGTAACTCAGTCACAGATTTAAATTCCATCAGTGCAAATCTCTGCCTTCCCTCTTCTCCTTTCATTTCATGCAGAGCATATTGAGTTCCAGAGGAATTTTAAAACACTGTGATATCAATGAATGTGGAATCTAGTTCAAGACTGTTCTCAGTCCACAAGGGCCAAAAGGACAAGATTCCATTGTGTGTAGCTGTGTGTTGCTCATAACCATGGGCCTGCCATGACATCTGGTAATGAAGACACAGTCTGTGTCCTCCATTCACAACTTCAGACCCCTCTGACTCACTTACTTCATGGTATCGGGCTCTTGCCACAGTTATGCAGAGAGTAACTTGTTGAGTATTCTTTAGCAATACTCTAGCATGAAAAACACCTTGGGAGACTCACTCAGGCATTTGCTTATCCTTACTGAAAGTGGCAGGTTGAACGTGTCTCTGGAGCTGTGCCTGCATGGGGCATCAAGGTTTGAGACTCCTTGGGGACTCAGCCTGAACTTTTTTTTCCCCTCTATGTCTTTTCTTTTAATTGTTCACACCTATCACAGCATAAACTCTAGTCAGATCTCTTCCCCAAACCATTTTTCTCCCTCTGACTGATCTCTACCTTCATTCCTCCTGGTTTTGATTCTTGAGCTACAAAACTGAATATTTAGAACTTCATTGTTTTCCACTTGTTGGTACAGTCTCTGTCCTTTTCCCCATGAGCTGCAGGTCTTCACAGGTCTTCTTTGTCTTCTTGAGAAGTTGTATTTTAATGTGGATATTCAGTGACACATAAATGGGATTGCATTATTTCCCTTACTCTGTTTTACTTTTCCCATTCAGCTTTACATTTAAAAATTTCACCCATGTTTCCATGAATGCATATAATGTCAATGTCATATGTCATTACTTCATACTCTGTAATAATGGTGATACTGCTGGTTACCTCTTATGTAGAAATATAATATATTTCACTGAAGCAAAAGCAAAATTTCTAGAAACACACCGAGGCAAGCATATAAAGCAGGATTTATTTTAAAAGGGATAACAGACTTCTCCCAGGAAGGAGAAGGGAGCCATAGCTGGTATCCTAGTATCCCAAGAAGTGTGAGTGTTCTGCCTTTTTTTTTTTTTTTTAATGTCTTAGGCTTCCTTTGTTCTCTTGCTCTCTTTCCCTTATCTCTCTCCTTCCTGCATACATGGCTAGACCCAGGAGATGCTTAGAAGGGATGGCCCAAAGGTGAGAAGCAGATGGGCTGGAGGGGCCAAGGTGAAGTGATCTGGACAGGACGAGGGCATAGGCATAATTAAAAACTTTTATAACTCCCTGTAGTGAGGGACAATCCCTGGGACAGGTTACCTTAGCAACAGGTTGGAGCAGGGGCAGGTTATCTTGGTAAGAGTGGAGGAAGGGCTCTGAAGGCATTTCAATCCCTCAGGGGCAGTCTCCAACTTCCCCTGACTTAAATTGGCCTCCTTGATCCTACCTGACTCAATTTACCTTTCTATACTGACTGCCTGTCTAATTCTGGCTTCATTGGTGTGTTCATTGTTCAAGCACACTGTTGTGCACATCTTTTTAATTTTTTGCCTACTCACTCCCTGAGATAGAAACTTAGACTCCCTCCAGATTCTTACCAAAGTAACATTTATTTTTACAAGTATGAAATCTCTCTTCATCTATTGAAACTTTCTAAATCCTTTTATCGTAATATTTTCTCCCTAGAGCTCTTTTTTATTTTTGGTTAAGCTAATTTCTAAAGACCTCAGACATCTACTGCTGTTGCATCTTACTTTTTATTACAGTTGAGTCTTATCCATTTGGAGGAATGCTGTTTTCATGTGCTTACTTACTGTTTGTTCATTTGTCTCTTTGGTTAGATGTCTTTTCAAATATTTAACCTATTCTGCAGTTGGGTTATTTTCTTAGAATTTTGAGAAGTTTTATTTCTGGATACAAGATATTATCAGATATTGGAAAACATTTTCTCCTCTTCCATGATTTGTCTTTTTGTATTTTTTAAATAGTATTTTTCAAACAAAAGAACTTCTTAATTTTGATAAAGTCCCATTTTGTCATTTCTTTAAATAAATGTGCCTTGGGTGTTATAACCAAGAATCTTTTCCTAATCTAACATCACAAAGATATTTTATTGTTCTTTCTGTTAAAGTTCTTTTAATTTTATGTTTTACACCTATTTGAGTTAATTTTTATGTGTGGTGAGAGGTGTGTGTCAGTGTTCGTAAATATTATTTAGATACCCAGTTGTTCTAGCATAATGAGTTGAAAAGTCTACCTACCACTTTTTTTAATTGCTCTTACACATTTGTCAACATTCAACTGACTACATAAGAATTTATTTTAGGATTTTCCTTTCCTGTTCTTTGGTCATTTTGTCTATCTTGATACTATTATTGCACTCTCTTGATTATTTTAATTTTGTAAATCTTGCAGTCAGATAATGTAAGCTTTCTAGACCATGTTCTTTTTTTCCAAAGATATTTTGGCTACTTTATGTCCTTTACATTTCCCTCTTGTATAGATATTTTACTTTGTGAAGGACTTCCTTTGATTTTCCTTACAGTGCAGTTCATTTTGCAATTAACTCTTTCAACCTGTTTATACATGAAAAAAGTCTTTATTTTTACCTTCATGTCAAAAGTCATTTATATTACTTTAAAGATTTGCTCAACTTTCTTCTAGCTGGCATTTTCTTTACCTAAGAAAATGTACTGTCTGGTTTGCTCCTCTGTACATATATCTTTTTTTCCTCAAGCTGCTTTAAATGTTTCCTATTTGCAATTTGATTATGATGTAGATGATGTGCTTTGGTGTCATTTTCTTCATGCAAATGTCCTGAAACTTTGCTCTGAGACACACAGGGAAACAGTTCCATCCTTTCAGGCTGTTTTGTTAGGGAGAATCAAGCTGTTTCCAGTCTAGAATTACTTTTGCCCACTTCTGGACCAAGATCCTTCTAAATATTCTAATAGACACCCTATGAATAGTGAGACTTTTTAATTTGACTACTGGGAACAGACAGTATTCCAGGCTCTTTGTGTGGTTTAGGAACTGTCTTCTCTAATCCTTCAGAAGAATTCATTCCTTGGCCTCAAACAGCTTCTACATAGAGCTGATGAGTACTCAGCTGAATGCTTGGGAGGCATCCTTGCAGGCCTTCAGAGGCCTCCCACTGGGCAGCTCCCTCCKCTGCAGTGTCTTTCTTGCATTGTCAGCTTCATCTTTCAACTGGAGGATGCCACTGATCTTTCTGGGTTTTTGTGCCCTGTGCCACAGCCTACAAGTTCTCTCCCTAAAAGTTCTTACAACCTGGCCTGACTGTAAGACTCACCTTATTTGTTGGACATCTCTCAGGAGTCTCCCCGCTGCTGGGTTGCCTGCTGTGCCCAATGTGTACTGTTTTGAGGGGGAAAAAAAAAATACATATATATATATATATATTCCTGAATTTTTAATCATTTCAGGTCAGAGAATATACATGTTTTCAAATATACTACCTTGAACCGAAACAAAAAGATTGGGTTTTTCCAAGTTAAAGCAATTTTTCAACCTCAACATTGTTAACACTTTGGGCCAGGTAATTGGGGGAAGGGGGTGGAATGAACACTATCTTGCACATTGTAGGACATTTAGCAGCATCCTTTGCCCACCACTTGCCAGTAGAATGCTCCCTCCCCAAAGGTCAGACAAGTAAAAATATCTCTAGACATTACCAAATGTTCCA